TTAGTTAGTTGCAACGAGTTAATTTTTAAGGCAAATTAAATGCAAATATTCGTTGCATTATGCATGCCTTAAATTCCTTAGGCAAACAAACACAAGCACGCTAAAACCACAATACATACATACAAAAGTTATATACAAATGTAATGTATGTACATACATCTGTATGTATGTATATTTAGGCACGCATGAATATGCATGCATTGCTTTATAGTTAGTTATGTTTTTGTTATGTGCAATTTTGAAGTGTTTGGAAAATTGAAATATTTTAATTGAATCCCAAAAAAAAAACACACAATAACAAATGCATCAATGCGTAATTTCTCATGGATGCATATGCATTTGCCCAAAGGCGATAACGTAATTTGAAATGCATTGAAATGACGCAAATATCAGAGAAGAAATTCGCACTCTATGTGAAGGCTGATGCACATATGTACATACATATGTATGTCTGTATACGTATGTACTATTGATGTAAATATCTTTTTTCTTTTAATAGAGAAAAATAAGTGTATACATATCAATTAATCTCCAAGCAAATCTCTACATGTCAATGTNCTTTTGATATATGAAATATATAGATATGTATATGTACCTATATACACATGTACATACATATGCATTGCAGTTGATTTAACTTTCTTGAGGCAAATGCCACATTGGTTAATAACAAATATGTTTAGCTGGAAGAAAAAGTGGATTAGCTGAGGTGATTTCTGCATTGCGTACCTTGTAGGGCGATGGACTCGGTTTTTCCGATGCGGGTTAAACCAGTTTTCTTGGTTTAAGAAGTAGGCAAATCAATTTCGAAATGCCTTGACAATATCAATGCGATGTTTCAGAAAGCTATGGTGATTTCATTTCTTCCAAAAAATGTTGCCCTTCCCCGGTGCAAAATGTATTTGATGTTACATTCAACCCTGTAAAAAGGCATGTTTTTGCCATCTTGTCCTTGTCTAGCTCACGCCTTTTATAATATTGTCGTTTTAAATAACCGTCTGATTTTCAGGGCAACCATCTCCCCTGACAAAGCATGTGACATTTTAAGAAACGCACACACAATTTTCTGACTTTTTGCCTTTAATTTAGAATCGAACACGAAGGGAGAAAGGGGCAACCAAAAGGCAACATTTTTTTGCTAGAAACGGGATCACCATTAGTTCTGCCTGGTTTATTACCATCCTTGTCAGTTATGTTGAAGTATCTGCGGAGAAGTTCCTTAGCGATATGCTGGTGATTTCCTTTCGAACCTTCCTTCCATGNAATCGAACACGAAGGGAGAAAGGGGCAACCAAAAGGCAACATTTTTTGCTAGAAACGGGATCACCATTAGTTCTGCCTGGTTTATTACCATCCTTGTCGGTTATGTTGAAGTATCTGCGGAGAAGTTCCTTAGCGATATACTGGTGATTTCCTTTCGAACCTTCCTTCCATGCATTAGCGTCTTATGCAATGCCATTGTCGCTAATGTAATCGCTTTCAAGTACCTCTTCTCAGTTGATGATGGCCTCCACCTCTTGACATTGTCCCACTACAGCTCCTCATCGAAGCTTGATCGGTGCATTGAACTCATTACGTACTCGAACTGAAGATGAAAATTTTTTTTGGTCCTCTAGGATCACACGCTTGCTGCTGTATGGGCTATAATAACCAAAGCTAAGTGGCACTTCGATAATGTTATACACCATGTCGACCTTGATGCCTTGATAATTGCGTCCACAATTTTCGACACTATAAAATTGTGTAATATTGCAACCTTCTCGATTGCAACTTTGCAAATTACATACTTCGCCTAAAACTCCTCAGTGCCCTCACCAATTGCTGTCCTCAGCCTTCCTNATAACCAAAGCTAAGTGGCACTTCGATAATGTTATACACCATGTCGACCTTGATGCCTTGATAATTGCGTCCACAATTTTCGACACTATAAAATTGTGTAATATTGCAACCTTCTCGATTGCGACTTTGCATGTTACTTCGCCTAAAACTCCTCAGTGCCCTCAATTGCTGTTCTCAGCCTTCCTGCAGGTCTTATGGCCTTACCAACTTATGATCAAATCAGATCGAATGATGGAATGTGATGCGCTTGTATCCACAGTTAGTAGTCGCTCTTCTCCGTCCACCTATCCACCAACAGTCACTTTGCTCACTTTTCTGCCTATTTGTGAGATGGAGATTATGTGGTATTCAATGGCGGCAGCCAGCGCGCCCCCGTTCCTACTGGCTCGTGTGAGTTTAACGACTGATTGGTATTTGGTTTACCTTCTTCATCCCTGCGTTTGTGTCCTGCTGAGTTGTTGTTCCTGTTGGAAATTGTGCTGTGATTGCGGGCTTTTTCTCGCCCAGCAGTGGATTTATTTCTTCAGAACTTCATTTGCCATGCCCGGGGTCTACCTGCAATCTATGGGCTTTATAAGCAGGTCTACTTAGGAGCGCTGCCGTTTTCTGAGTCTGAGCATACGAGACAGTTTCTGCAAATGTTGGCTTTGGTCGCTCGCTTGCTAAACGTGTCCCATATTCCTTTAGTGAATCGTTGAGTTTTAACACTTCGAGGTGTTCACCAGATACAGCTCCAATTGCCAAATGATCCAAACTCTCAACCTCGGAGGCGAATTTTTGCAAAGTTTCATTGGCTTTTTTTGTAACGCTTCTCGAGTTCCATCTGGTGAATCTCTCGGCTGTGCTCGCTACCTTAACGTCTTTCCACAGCACTCATTAAAGCATTGTAGATTTATCTTTCACACTCGGGAACAGCCTGCAATTCGCTGCAGGTAATTATAATGGAACGAATAGCGCAGCGGATTTATCCTCTATACTCCAATGGTTTGCTGTAGCCGTTTTCTCAAACTAGAGATTAAAGACCTGGAAAGGAATTGTGCAGAAAAGGAATGCAGTTTTTACTTTGGGAGTGGTCGTCGAAGTAACTGCACGATTTAACTGTAAATCTCGGAGACGACCTTCTAACTCATCTACCTTAACGCTCAGTTAGTCTAGACTTAACTTAATTAAACTTACCGTAAGAAATCATCAATGATTACTCAACACGTCAACTTATGCCAAGAGCGGAAATATTTTGTTTTTGTATTTTCTTTTTCGTGTGTTTCAAAAAAATGCATGCAAACAAAATTGTTTGCTTTCATTTATTTTTAAAAAATACAAAAACGAAAGTCTGGCAAGCCTGATTGTCTCACCGCTCTCAATTTTTAAGTTAAGTTTTAACTAACCAAAATATTAAGTTAAGTTAAGTTACGGTAATTAAGTCTAGACTGAAGCTGAGCTTTTAGACTCGATTTTATTTCTAGTTAACAAGCGCTTATCCTCAACTATCGCTTCGATATTATCTTTCCGCTTCTTGAGTGTATCATGTCCCTATTTGAGTACCGCGTTTTCTTTGACTACAGTACAACTAAGTTTATTATTCAACAAATCTTTATAGTACCCGCTTAGGCTATTAAAACACTTTACAAAGCTTTCTAAGGCAATTGATTCCTATTGTACCACTGAACATGTAGCTTGCTGATTCGCAACTGAACTTTTCGTGCGCTGTAGCACTGCCTGTATATACCTATATCGCACATTCTCTCATTCTCTCACGGTTCGTAGTATTCCTCCACTTGATGGTTCTTGATGTCGAATTATCTACGTCTTTCGTCGAACATTCTGTTGTTCGCTAAGCGTGTTCGTCATAGAATGTAAAAGCTAAATTTACTTAACTTTTTTTATTTTGAAAAACAAAATTACTTCCTGAACTATAAATAACTAATTACAAAACAAACTGTAGCAGCCGATTTCCCAGTGTATAAATAACTATTTAACAAATAATTAGTAAATCAATAGTTAACTGCACAATGTTGGCGAATTAACTATGAGTTAATCATCTATTAAGTACATTGAGAAACTGACAAGAAGGGATAATCTTTTGATTATAATTAAACGTCAGTTGAGAAATTGGCTGTAAGAGAATATTTTTTTCCAACAAGTTTTTTTTTTTGGTTTAACGGACTGATCCCCAGTTTCAGCAATCAATTTTGAAATTTATCAGACTGATAAGTTTAAAATAAGAAATTTTTCAAACAAAATTGCCAAATTTTCCGAACAAAATTGTGTCTGTTCAAATTTTAACAGTCTGATAAATTTAAAATGTATTGTTGCAATAAATAAGCTATTAAATAAAGTATTAAACTGCGTAAATAACAGTCCCTTACCTGTAAAAACTGTGTGTTTCATACATTAGGGCAACACTACACAAATATTTCAGTGAGTGCAGCTGGATTCCATTTCGTTCACTCCACTCACGTTTGAAAAAAAAATTTGGAATTCAATTTTTACAATTTCAAAATAAATTAAAATTCCATACTAGTTCGAGAACGCTATTAACGGTTCTTTGACATGCATTTGAGAACCAACGTTTGAGATTTGAGAAAAGGACTGATTCTCAAATGCATCTCAAATAAGTTGCGTTTTTTTACTCATTTCCAGTAAAATCCAGTAAAAGTTTTTACGAATTTTCATGTTTTGGCGTTTTCGTACGCAAAAACTTGCAAAGTAGGCCTGAAATTGAGAGACCGAAAAATGACAGCTGAAGTTGCAAGTTTTTACTGGATTTTACTGGATAAATTTTTACTTGTAAGAATTTGCCAGTACGAAAAACAGCTGATCGCATGTTGCTGGATGAAATTTAAACTAATAAGGAAACTGTTTGTGGCTTTTTATTGTTGAACTTCACAAAATAAACCTATTTAAATACAAAATATATTGTTTTATAAGGAATTTGCTGCGAATAAACAACCAATTTATCAGCTGTTCATGAAACTTGCAAATTATTACTGGAAAAGCGTTCGCGTACTTTTTTGCAAATTTTTTCTATGAGAGCGAATTCTTAGAAATAAAGTTACTGGAGAGTTACTGGCAAGTTACTGGATAATTTGTAAAAAAACACAACTATAGTTACACACACACAAAATGTCGGTTAATTTAAAAATTTCACAGGGCGTCATTAACACCTACATAACTGTATAGGTACCCAAGTCACAATCAAAATTGGTTGTAAACGTAACTACAACAATATGTTGAATGCGCCTGGAGCGCCATCTTTAGAGTAAATCCAACATACATACACATATTCAAATAAATAAAGTTTTGATTGAGGTCAGTTAACAAATTTGGCGCCAACTACTTATTGACACACATGCATAACCATGTAGAACGAAAGACTTAAGCAACAAACTTATAAGGAATAAAGAACATTTTGTTCCATAGAAGGGGAGTAGATCCAAGCCTCATGAGCAAAAAAAAATCTATTCAAGTGTGGACCACCCCAACATATACAGGCGTTTCAGGGGAACGTTAATCTACAAATGTACAAACTTGCGTGCAACTGGAACGACAGTAGGCGAAGTCAAACCAGGAGCTCGCCGGAAATTAGTTGAAGCCTCACGAATGACAGCTACCGAACCCAGCAGAAATCTCGGAGAGGCTTTTAGAGTAGAAACGAGCGTCAATATGGGTAGCCCTGCTTCTTAGTAACGAAGTCGAAGACATTGTGGCTTCAGCTTTGGTGAACTGAGCCGCATTCTTGTTTACCAAAGAGCCACTCAGCGATCTCGATGTGCTAAGCGCATTTGCATCGGCTATCTCATAAGAAGTTCTAAGCAAACTATATACAGTGGGGAGCAGAAATGAGTACGCGGTGATTTTTGTTAAATATTTGCAAGGTTTTTGAAGTCAAAATTTGCTTGTTATTTTTTCATAAAAATATAGTTTATTCTTTAACCAAAACCACATATATAACTTTATAGGGAGCCTAGAAAAATTGCAAAATATTTCATTAAATTTTAACTTTTTATTCTGAATTTTTAGAATTTTTTTGAGTATGCAGTTTGGTAGCCCAGTAAATTTTAGTATAACGAACCATAATCGCGATAATTTTTTATTTTTTTTTGTTTGCTGACGGCTTTTATGGGTTTTTCATATAACAAGTGCAATTACGTAAGAAACTCATGCTTATATCACTTTATCAATCACTTTATTATACTAAATCATTTTATTATACTAAAGGGCAATTCATCTAAACGCACAAATCTCTCGTAATCATTTAAACCCCGTAAACTTACCTGATTTTGTATGGAAAATCGGTTTATATACGAGGTTTACGCGGTTACGAGGAATTTACGCATTTCCATGAATACCTATTAAAAATCTAAAAAAAAAAATCCGAATAAAAAGTTAAAATTTTAATGAAAATTTGTTAAATTTTTCTAAGCTTCGTATAAAATTTGAAAGCTTGATTTATATGCTTTTGGTTAAAGCTTGATCCATAGTTTTACTTTAAAAACCTTGCAACTATTTTAACAAAAATCACCGTTTACTCATTTCTGCTCCCCACTGTATATTCGGCAGCAGCCACTATTTTAGAGGGCGTCAGAGTTCATATAGATTTACTTTCACCATATTAACTCGGCAACTACTGCACATCTACTATGTGTGTTTGTCTTCAGGCGAAGTAGACAACACTCTAGTCCAACATCCACTGGGCTACTATTTAAAACAACTGTGGTTCGAAGACTATTGGATATGCGCTTTTTTGTGTCAAAGAAATTACAGAAAGGGGGCCTTTTCATATAGCACAAGATGACTTGAAACAAACTTTTAATGCTTTATCTGTTAGCTATTCTCTCCAAAAAATTGTTTTTTAATAATCTGTGCGTTAAGAGAAGTGTGAATTATGCCATTGCAATTCTACATACAAATGCATACTTACAATCTTATGAGCCTGTCTCCTCTTCCACCCACACCAATCTCGCCACAATACAACTATAATGATGCGTTTAATCATAAACTGGTACACTCATGTGCCTACATATTCATACATATATGTAAGTATGTATTCATAAATAAAATTCGATTTTGAAGATCACTCAACCCTTTACCCTCTTATCAATTTCTACGCTCACGGCATTCTGCCCACCACTTTCGTCAACTTGTTTATTTGTATTTTTTTTTTAATTACTACTACATTCACTTTTTCCTATCATATTGTGATAACTGCTAGTGGCGTTTTTTTTGTTGCTTTTTCTTCACCTTAACGTCGATCATTAATTATGTATGCATAAGTTAAAAAAAAGTGATCTTGTCGAATGGCTACAGCTATTGTACTACTTTGGAGACATTCAGCTGTGTTGTGGTTGAGGTTTAATTTTTGTTTTGGTTCAAGTTTTGAATTTTTTTTATTATTGATATTTTTTGAGGTTAATGCACCTTCTGTCACTTACTAGCAATTAATGTGTGTTATTGTGTCTTTTGACTACCCAAAACCAAAAAGCTTAAAAAATAAAACCGAAGAAAACACAAATGAAAAATTTAAATGAATATTCAAATCGATTAATAAAACCAGTGACGTTGCTGTTGAAGAAAGAAGAAAGTTCAACAGCTAACAAAAGTTGTGAACTTAAAGAAAGTTGTTGAAAAGGTGAAGCTCATAAGAAATATCGTTTGGTAATGATGAAATGTATTTAAAGAAAAAAAAGTGCTAAGTAGCAAGGGGAAGTCACAGGCTTTTGAGCGCCGAGGGGGCCCCGAATGCTTTACAATACGTAACACTGAACCTAGTTCACAGCGTTCATTAACTGGAGTGCTTAGTGGGTAAAAATAAAAAAAAATAAAAGTACACCGACAGAGAGCGGAAACGATCTGCTGTGTGTTCATTAATTAGCTAATAGATTTAAGGAATAAGAAACGCTGCGACTTGGAAGATCTTCTGCATGTTGCTAACGAGACCCCAGCCATCAATGCACAAAACACCTTCACCCTCCCTATTGCGACATGCGCCGAAGAAGGACTAATGCTAAAAGATGCGACTGTGTAATTTAATGTGGAATTTTTTAGTCTTTATCTGGTCAAGGATGGGCAATCAGATAGATCTTAGAGATCTTTTTTTGTCCTGCTGATAAGGTCCTAAGCTCTAGAGTCCAAGATACTATCAGATTCGCTAATTAATTCTAAAAAGACCAGAGTAGATAAATTCTGGTACTAAAATATTCAGCTGTAGATAAATTGATATTCAATAATATGTGTTTGGTCACAGTCGAACGATATTGTACAATGTACTCTGACATTTCATTGTTTTCAAGATAAATTTGGAATTCTATCTTTGTCCACTACAGTTAAATGGCCTGGAATCTGGCCAACCCGTTGATACCGGCAATCACGCAATAACCCATTACGATTTCGGCGTGTTATTTGCCTTGAAGAGATGATCATTCCAGACATTGAGAAGGACGTGGGTGTCTGTATAAACAACTGTAAATGATCTCTTCAAATTTTTTCTATGTACCAGATATAGATATTACCTTTGGCCTGAGGCACATTAAGCTATAGCTCTTTGGCCCACCTGTGTACCAGCTTATGTATCTGGGATCAAACAAGGGAACATTACATTTCAGACCTTGTCTTCTTTGAGAAGAAAGTCAAAAGGCCTCCTCTTATTTCCAGCACATGCATTTTTTCCAAGAAACTTCCATTGTTCTTCTTCTTTTGTGGGACGATTCGACAAACCCGCCCCTAGTTCGACAAGAAAAGGTCTGACTCCCTCATTCGTCTAGGATGTCCTCTACTAAAGAACTCTACTTCTACGATGCTTCTGGTCAAACTTCGCCAAGAAAGGTTTTATTTAGCTGAAGATGCCGTAATTTTTTTAAAGAGTTCTAGCTCTAAAAGTGTGAAGAAACAATTTATCAATAAGGATGTCATTGAAGACATGAGTCCCAACCTAATAGAATTGTATAAGTGAGAGATTTTCAGAGTTCGACACAGGTAAGGGAGGTAGTGGGATCCCGCGTAGGAAATGATCTGATGTTAGAGCTTGTAGGTCGTCTGGAGCTTGGGACATTGGGGATGCGGTCTAAAGTTTAGAACGACCTTAATACCAATGGAGAGAATATTGAAATCTTCACATTTATGTAGGTAAATTTGTGATACGCCGCAAAATTCATTAAGAAAATTTTTTAACTCTTTACTGCTGCTTTCCAGAGAGCTCCCATGTCAGTAGCGTAGAGATGAGTAAATTGCCATGAGCCGCCGTATACGACATAGTTGTTTGAAACATAGGAAAACTACCATTTTAGCCTTACTTATGTATAAACCGGAGAGTGAATTCTGCCACTCTAAGAACTCTTGAGTAGGAGGAGAAGCGATTCAAAGGATCGGTACTTTCGGCTGCGTGGAACACTTCAATTTGCCTTTTGTTCAGCGGGAGCGAAGTTTGGTGGAACTTAGGGCCAGAGTGCAGAGGGCTTCGTTGGCCATACTGGGCCTTCTACGAGATTTTGGACATGTCGCTACGTAGAATTGTTAATGTTTTGAAGGATATGGCCTCTCCTGTGGCTATGTAGGGCTTCAACATCCATGGAGTGGTTTTCATCCAGGTTAGTACGCTAAAGGTGTCGAACCACAAAATTAGTTCATGCGATGACAGATCCAGTTGGGATCGGATATGTTTCACTAACTTCGTGTTAAGGACTTCTTCTTCTTTGGCCCTGTAACCGCCTAGTCGATTTCGGCCGAGTTAAGAACTACGCCGCATAGTTCCAGCCTTGGAAGAGAAACAATTTCGAAGGCTGCAACTTTGCTCTTTGCTTTGCTTTGAGTAGATGAGAAGTCACAATTTCGCCTTAAAGAATTCTTAGATATACGCAAGCGTACAAAGTCTTTTCAGAGGCATCCACGCCCTTAGATTGCGTTTTCTGGGCTTAATTGCACTCAACGAGATATCTTGATATCATTGATCTCTAAGGAGACTGTATGAGTTAACTGGGCTAGTCCTAGTCTATCTCTTCCATTCAGCGTGGTTGGAGGATAGTTTTCGCTGCTGTCATTATGGGCGATAGCCATACTATATGTACATATGTATTATAATTACTTTTTAATTTATCTTCAAAGACTAAATGTCCTATTTGCTTGTGCTTTAAGTAACCTACTGATGTCTCTAAATATGTCGCAATCTTTCCGGCTGCCAGACAAAAGCTGGTCTTTCATTTTCAATATTAGCAAACTAAGTTAAACCAAACATCGCGGCAGTAAACAGCTGAGGTATTAATACATAAAATCAATATGCCCAGTATTATACAACATTCAAGCATAAATACTAAAGTAAATTTACATAAATATAAGGAAGAAGAAGAGCAGACAATTTCGCTTTCTTTTGAAAACAAATAGCAATGGAAAATAAAACAAAAAAGCAAAGCCGGCCCAAGACAAGAAGAGCAACTGAACGTACAACTAAATAAGTCGAGCGTAAAAGATATTCAGCTACTTGAAAGCTGCTGAGATGCTGAGTGAGAGAATACGTAGGGCTCTATTTCCTGCGGCAATCGCATGCTGCGCGGTAGGCGTAGCGCAGCGTCACCATTCGTTGTCACTGTTCGAAAGCGAAATTGATTTTGAGTTTTACTTTCATTTCTTTTTAGATAAGCACTGGGATATTTTTGTTTTTATTTTACGTATAAGTACATATACATACATATTTATTTGAATGCCTGTCTGTTTATATATATGTATGTATGCACTATGCTTGGATATATAAAAGGCGATGGCGGCGCGCTGAATTCGCTCATAAAGATCGCGCAAACTGTAGACTGAAAAACTATAATTTGAAATGGGTGTCCGTATCTTCAATAGCTGTGTCGGTGAGTTTCACTAAAAACACTGAACAAGAAAGTTAAAATTTCAAATTTAATAATTTATTAATTTCATTTATCTTCGCTTATCAATTTCCAATTTCAGTTTTATTAGCGGTGTTATATGTATTTTGTGGCGACAGTGATGCAGCTGCCATCAGTAGCAATACACGCAGTGTAGGCGCCCTTACTCCAGCATATAAAACTTTGTATGCGCCACATCTCCGCATCGCACGTCAAGCGTACTCCGATGAGGATGGCTCTGAGGAGGATGCTGAAGTGCAAGCAGAACAGTTGGCGCAACAACAACTCCAACAGCAACAAGCGTCAGACTCGCACTCACAAGAGGAAAGCGAAGAGGATGGCGAGGACGATGACGATAATGATCGCAGACGTCGTCGTCGTCGTGAAACACCTGCCGCGGAGGCTGAAAATTTAGAGCAGTCGGCGCTACCAATAAAGGAAGCTGAATCTGCTGCGGTACCTGAACCCGTGCCTGTGCCTGCGCCAGCCACAAGCGAACAAATAGACGAAGACAAGGAAACTACGCAAAGCAACGAAGCTAATGCGCCAGTTGTAAATACCGCCGCTGCCACAGTCACCACCAGTGCACCGCCGCGCAACACGTCCGTACTCATACTCATTCGCGATGCCTTGAAAAAAGTCACCACTCTACCCACTGAGCAGGTGGCTACCAATGCGCTGCAGTATTTCCAACTTTTCGAACATTTCATACAGAAGACCATCGAAGAGGTGATCGGCGACGATGATGATGACGATGATGAGGCTGCTAACGCTGCTGCAGGCGCCACCGCGACCACCATCAAACCTGATGCTATTTTCACACCCGAAGAGGAGGAACTTATTGCCGGTGTTGAAGAAATCTTAAGGAACCCGAATTGGTTACCAAGCAACCTCAGGTAGTGACACCAGCTGGTACACAAATGGAGTGATGAATCAAGCACCAGTAGAAAGCGATGCTATAGTGGGTTCAACGAAACCGGCTCCTGGTGGACCCACACTTGAAACAGTGCGGAAGAGAAACCAGCGATTGTTGCTGAACCAGCAAAAGTTGAGCAGCCAGTTACGAACTCTGTTTAAGTTCACCTGCTATGATTCGTTGTATTAAATTTAGTTAGGCGCACTTATTTATTAACTTATTTATTGCATAGCTTTGTAGAAAGAAATATAGAAGACAAAGTATTTAAGCAAAAATACTTGTAACATTTTTGTTAGTTAAGGCGAAAATTTAACAGCTTAATAGTGGCTTAAGAGAAAAGTAAGTTCATTGCCAAAAATGTGTGTTGCCTACAGGCAACGAAACTAAGCAGTCATAACTCTACTCCTGCAGGAACCGGATATACCGCATTAAGGTAACGTAACACAGCCGAGTATGAGAAACAAGTGGTAAATATTTTCGCCAGAAAAGAGCCTTCCTTTACAGGATTTATTTCCCCAACCCCTTCAACCATGCCATGGAATTCCATTAGCCGAAGTTATTAATTATCAGCTACGGAAGGACAAGGACAAGGGAAAGCGAAGCACTCCTTCACCTTTTCTTACTGGCTACTGCAGTGAAGCACTTATCGAATCTGGGAGTATTTGCTCTGACCGGTGCAGAGAACATTTTGGATCTTTGTGAAGCCTATACTAAGCTCAGACTTGTCTTCTGTGATGATCGATCCAAATAGTACTCAATTAATGGACCGAACTTTGTCACGATAACTAAGTGGTCTGCTTCCTCCACTAAATTTTAATCGAACCCTAGTCCCAACTCAATGTTTTGATATGAGTAATAAAGTACCTCAAAGCTTTCTTTTGGCAAATGTTTTATAATAATGATTTTTTCTTCAATGTCAGGTTAAAATCCCGGTTCAAAGTGTAATTTTGGCGAAGATTTAAAGAAGCTTTGATTTAGGTTAGACTGCTTTTGGCAATAGTTCACTCATGGCTAAGGAGCCTCTTTAAGTTACTCAGAAGAGCATTTGTCAGGCCTATATCTAAATATCCTTACATCATCCCGATCGTTTGATGGATTCAGAGAATCCGTGAGAGATTATGTCTAGTCTCAAATATCTTCCAAAAACACTGTAGCGCATTACTCGGAGGGCGGAGCAGTCTCAAAGGCCTGTATCAGAGTTTTGCGTATGGATCTCGTGCATTTTCTCACTTCCTGCAGCATCACTACGTCTCTGAGATTAGTCTCAGCTTCTGTGCATGATTCCGATGCTGCTTAAAACGGAGGCAGGACCCTTAGTTTCCAAGGCGAGTAAATGTCCAACTATAATTCAACGAAGGTGCTCAATTGTTTGATGTCTTCACCGGAAATATTGACTTACAACAGCTAAGGAAAATGTCTTGAATTTCCTATATACATATCATATCGGGTAGTTAGGTAGTCCGGGTATGCCTGTGGTCACTTCACTTATAGAATATAAACGACTCTGGACCTTTGGCGGCGCTTAATATAATCAGACCTTATAAACTGCCATTTGGAATCACATAGTCCAGCACTTTGTGAATAAAGGTGGCACACGCAGCTGATCTCAGCAAAGCGCCACACACAAAAACTATATATTCTGTTATATAAAGTTAACTTGAAAAGTATCTGATATTTAGCCTTGGCATTATGTATATATTGTAATCATCACTGAATATACATACATTATAAGTCGAGTCAACCAACAAGTTTTCACTTTAAAGCCCTAAACATGAGCCGAACAAAAAACAAAAAACGCTTTCCCTTTCCCTTTCGAAGACGATGAAAAATGATATCGAGCATCGGAGAAAAACTTGTTCTATGCAACTATTAAATTTTGGAATTTCATTGCATTGGAAACCAAAATTACATAACATCTAAAGTAGGAGTGTAAAGAGTCAACAACGCAATGATATGGAAGCAAACGCATGCGCAAGAGACGCCGAAGCAATGCAACTGAAAGAAA